GTCTCAAAAATAAACATTAAAAAAATTTTTTTAAATAAATAAAATAAAACTTTTATTATTTTACTTTTTTTCTGCCCACACTTGGGGCATAATGTTGCTCATTTGAACGTTTGCCAGATTGTAGGCTGAAGCAGGGACAAAGTATCAAATTTATTGATCAAGCACTCTAGAAGTCTTAACAAAGTTTAATAAGAAAACATGGGGACCAGTGAATAAAAAAATTGGTTTTTGAATTATGTACGTTTCATGCACCCATGTTACACTGTTTTCCTCATGTATCTTTCATATTACGATATTGTAACATCATACCTGGGGATTACATTTTCCCAACCCTCAAAATTTATTCTATTAAAAATAATGAGACAATAAAATACTTGTTATGTACAAGTCACTAGTCACTAGAACATAGAGACAAATATGTTTTTATAGATGTTGCAATGCACATGGCATCATTACTATGACTAATAGAAGTTTAAGTCCCACCAATGATAAATATAAAGAGAAGTAATACAAAATATCCCTGTCCAAATACAATAATAAGGTAAATTTTACTAGCCCATTATATTTTTTTCAAAAAAAAAAAAGGATTATTTTCCCCAGTGGTATATATAGCTTTTTACTTATTATATTATTTTTTTTTATTAATAACAACCACAACTGGTAAATTATGAATAAAATACAGTGGCCACAAATTGTTAACGCTGCTGACCTAGACCCTACGGTCGTATGATACTTCTTTTTCATAAACTGGAAAGAAGAATCTACAGATAACAATGAGTCGAGATTTTAGCAATGGTTTTCCAAACCTGACCATATTTAAAACTCTGATCATTAATACTTGACAAATCTGAATTTCCTGTTCCTCTCCTACCCTTGGACAGAAGAGCAAAAAAGCAGTCGAAAGAGCCTAGGTCCCCGTTACCCAAATGATACGATCTTTAAAAACTGAGAGCTGATGTGATATGTTAATATTTGGAGGAAATGATGGCGAAGATGATAGCATATACACTAATAGCATTTGGGGGCCTACGTTTAAAACTCTCTATTTGACCTTGTTTAACATAGTTCCTGGAAATGCATGGCAACTACTGGGTTTACATACGATATCAAGTCACAGGGAATTTCTGAACCTAGGGATAATCTGAACCTGAACACCAGAGGCTAGACGGGAGTCTGCACGCTCTTCACTACGTGTGACCTGAGGACTGAGACGCCAAAATGATTGTATTCCTAACTCATTTTCAAGTTCAAACTTAGACCAAGCCCATGACTAAACAACGTAGGCTCCAGAGAGGGGAGTTTATGCCATGAACACTTGAAGTGTTTGATAAACAGACCTTGCTTCTTGAGGCTCCAAAGGCCCATATGAATGTTCTAATGCAACCAATTAACAAGGAATATGAGATTGAAACATCACCACACAAAATCCTATTATACCAAGAAAAATAATTATAGTGGCACAGTTTCACTGGTTCCCAATTATGAAATCTAAGGGCATGGAACCTCTACACTTCTAATAGAACCTGTAATTACAAGTAAATAAAATATGGTGTAAGTGAAAAGTTGTTTCGACATTACTAGAGAATTGTGCAATTCATTTTGTTTCCCTCTGTGTGTCACCTCAGAGTTATTTTATTCTCTTGGTTCTAATTGAGTCTTCCCTAATGATCTATAGGTATAAACAGTATCATTTGGCAGAAATTGAACATCTGGTCTTGAACTAAATTCTCATTGCATTTTGGAAGGATCTTCTACATGGCCCATCCAGTCTGGAATACATGTAACTGAATATTGCAGCTTAAAATACTAAACCTTTATTTTTTAATCAACTTCTTCCACACTCGTGTTTCCAGAATGGAATGCCTTACGCTATTCAAGCAAACAGTGTATTTGAACTTCGCTTTAGAATGAGAATTCCCCGCCTTTCGTCTAGATTCAGCCTTACATTAAGCCAAACAAATTTAAATCAGAAACTCAGAAGTTGCCACCTGCCCAACTTGAGCTAGCAACTCGTAGTCTGATGATGAATGAAGTATACTTACTCCCCATCTTCCCACTAACTCAAACTATCACCTGCCTTTCCTCAGTTCTCAAAATAGCCTCAGAGGCCACACAGCACCCCATTTAAACTAGAAGGGAAAGAAGTTGGGGGGTGGGGGTGAGAAATACCTCCGCCATTGTTGTAGGTCAAATAGGGGAATCTCCACACATTTCCCAGGCCCACTGCATATCCAACCATAGATAGAAGATAATCCGATTTTTTGGACCAGTTACCACGGTCCTGATTCTCATCATTTTCACCAACATGGAAATTCTCAGATGAAGCTGTCACTTTCTGGTAGAAGAGACGATATCAAGAGTTTGTCTTTATGCTATTAAAAGTCCACAGAAGCATAATTACACACACACACACACACACACACACACACACACACACACACTCAAAGACAGACAGACAGACAGACAGACAGACAGAGGATGAACCCAGAAAGCCACAGCC